TGGTGAAATGCTTTTACAGCAATGACAAATTTCTTTATCATTTTTTTGTGAGAACACAAATTTTGTGAAAACCACAAACTTTTGTAGTTGTAATCATTTCATCGAGATCTTTAAGAAAATGAGTCATAGTGACATTCGCAAAATTCTACCCTCAAAAAGTGAAAACTTACAGCGCTAAAAATTAAACTGCTAGTATCCATATACAGAATCCTAATTTTGACAAAATGGCCACTGATACAGAAACTATAATAACTAACAATGTTTGTAAAACAATGACATACTACTGATTTTTGTTGTTTTCATATCTGCATCTTTGTTGGTATGTAATCAGCATAGAACACATTGAATTATGGGTATTTTCATGTTTAAGTATGATTCTATCTTTGAATAAACCATTAACCATGACTAGAGTTTATTGTGTCACAATAGAAAATAATTACCGGTAATATACTAAAATTAATTATCAATTGGACTGTTGCTATGTGTTGCTAAGAAATTCAAATATGCTGTTAAGATATGTGTTCACAAGGCACAGAAAAACAAAAGTTTTGTTTCTCTTAACAAGTACCGGGTAACTAAATATAATCTATCTTTATAGATTTTTTCCTTAAAACACATCACTGATAATTATATTTAGCTTTTACTCCCAAATTAGATGATAATTGATAGAGATGTGTCCTGAGGCTAGCCGATAGACCCTATAATGTTTATCGTTAACTTAGTTAATATATGTATTATTAACTGTTTGAGATGAATTAAAATTTAACATACTGTAAAACATTTTAAAAAAGCGACATGCAATTTTAGTGAATTGTGGTACGGTAAAATGACGTAATAGCGAAATGTTTGATCGTCGTTGTTGATTTCCTTTTCTCACAATACTTGTCTGTCGCGTGCCAAAACAAATGCGCAGTTATCACCTCCATAAAAACAAAGAAAAACTGTCAAGTGTAATTAGGAAGCACCCCAAATTTTTATGTTTCGGATTACTGTATACAAATCCCCAAGCCTTGGCCATTTTGAATTTATAATAAAGTCATACATCTCGAATTAGCGAATCAGTTCTCTTGCTAAATTCGCTAAAAAGACATGCTTGGGAAAAAGACATGTTTTACAGTATGTCACCTCAGTGGACCCTCTTCTGACCTACAACCAATAGAGTTTCACAGTGTGTGACACATAGGCAGGACATCGGTTTATGAAATATGTGAAATAATGGTCAATCTACATTATAATAAATTACATACAAATTATTAAGTGTACAAGAGATATTAACAATGTTGTTATTGTTGCCATGGAAACCCACTCTTTATTTGCTTATTGACATATGTTGAATGTAACATTTAATCGCTGTCACTAACCAGAATGTCGACTAGATGTTGAGCTTTTGTATTTTTTCATCTGCTCTGTTAATAATGTATGTGCCTATGTGAATTAAACAGATCTTTCTATAGTCATAATAAATATTATATCAATGAATTAATATACAGTCAATGGGATTTTTAGTTTATATGTGCTTCAATTGGAGTGTGATATAGTCAATCCTAGAAGACCTCAAAAATGACCTGAGCTGAATTTGCTCTTCTGAACATGCTGAGTGATTGATTTATTTATTTATTTACAGTATAAATACTGTAACTGTCTTGCCTTTATTGCATACAGAATCATTTAAATCCAACATATTTTGATTATAGACTTTTGGAATTTACGTAAGTGCACTACTAACGGAGAGAGCAAATACAGTCTGGCTGGGGAGGGTCATGGTTGCCTTATATTATCACGAATGCATCGCTAAGTACAACTGGCCTACCCTTAAACTACTTATAAACAAATAACAATAGTCAACAGTTATGTATTGTGTTGCGGGGTACAATGGCTATTGTCTTTTGATAGAGAACGTTCAGTTTCATAGAATACTGTAACCTCCCCTGAAAGGTCACGCATTAATTCTAAATACATGGAAGCTACGTTAAATAATTTGAGAACTGATCGGAGACGGGCTTACCTTTGCGTCAGACTACACCGATAAAAGGGGCACACAAATCGGATCGGAAGATTATACGAAGTTAAATTTTTGTCACGGTGACATGAATACAATTATAGTTAGGAGCGGTTCTTTTGTCAAATCGAAGGTTCATGAGGGTAATCAATATCGTCGGTGCTTATGTTTTTTGTTTTCTAAACTATAAAACACTGCATATGCGGAAGGTAGCGAATACACACGGGGAATGCGATTACCATCGCCAAACGCACAATCACAAAATACTTGTATGAGGGGTGATTATTCGTGCTAAGATTGGCGTGTAAAATAATCACACGGCCTGTAGTGTTTTGATTGAGCGCTCAAGTGAAACCTGTCCAAGCATAAGTCGATACACTTGTAGGACTCATCTGTTCGGAAAATATCTCTTCCACTCAGCGCGTCGCCCGTGTCTATTTATGCTTAGGTCCATACTAGTACTAAGTTTTCACTTACCTCAGCTTCGAACAGACAGCGCACGGTAATACTGTGTTCGTGGAGTTTCAGTCGCGGTACAGGTTAGCATGCCTAGAGCCGAGTGAAGTCCCACTTTTTATAGCTTATCATGGATTAGTACTTTTGCCATGGGACGTTGTGATTGAAACTTTACACTTGAGCTGTTTATGTTCTGTCATTTAGTACGCCCTCGTGCGGTTCCCATAGTCACAGTGACCACCTAACTTTGTTAAAAATACGACATGTGCACGTTTTTCATACAGCCTGGTGTGGTTACCTGTGGCGAGGAAAAAAAGGAAGGTAACCAGGCTAACTAAGAATAAAATATCCACTCAAATTCCAATAAGTTGAAACAGATAATCATTTCTCATGCAGAGACTTTCAGTAATTTTGTTTCATTTCTGTACAAAGGCGAACAACATTATGGCGTCAATATTTTGGGGGTTTTAATAAACTTGTCGACATATTAAACAGCAGCTGATGTCAAAATCTGTCAGAATGGAGGCAAAATCCACAATGTGCGAGACTTGGCAGGTATACTATTTAATTTGCATGGGAGACAAATTTTCAAAAATCAGTGAAAATTTCTCTAGTACATGTACTCTATTGACACAAAATGTCGGTGACATTCGTGGAATTAAGACGAATTCTTTTAAATCCTTGTCCATAAAAACATTTCTGGTAGTGAAAATTAACAGTTTACAATATTGCAAAATGTACTATTCTTGTGCCTGGTGTAGTTGGTACATCAAAGAGCCATCTCAGTCTTTATAATTTACATTTTCAGACATTGCTTTACCTTTTCGATCAAACAGTTTGTAAATTGATATCCAAATTCCTGTGGGAAGGAGCATGCAGACTGAAAATTATTTTGTAGATGTCAATATGGTGCTTAAAGTGTTAATGAATCTTCTATGAATCCAATTCGATGCTTTAAAAGGAGGGATGCATTACTGTTATGAATCTCCACCATCAGAATTATAAAAATTTAGTTAAATTTGGGAGATTTTTATCAAAATGATTTACTTGTGAAAAACTATGGAAACGTACGCCGTCATGAACACATGCTCGAGTCTACAAAGAGGTCAGACATTCAACCTTGGAGAGGTAGGTAAAACCGAGTTGGTGCAACATACAGCAACACAAGTCAAAATTGTCAATGATATATACATTCATGATTTGCCACAGCATAGTAGCAAGGTCATAGCTGAATAAGTTGGCCTTGGCTGGAAAAATGCACCCAAATTTTTTTTTGATTACCTACAAGGAAATAGAAAGTACACAATGCCACGATTGAATGTTTTTTTTTTAATAGAAAACTACTTTCACATTTATTTGGCTGTTCAGATACAAGTAATAAATGATTCAGTGTTGAGATAAAGTCAGCAAGGCACATTTCTCCAAAACAGAGGCCATCTTTGAACATAAATAATCAGATCCGGAGACGATTATTCAAGCCTCGTTCAGGATGATCAATTTATAAGGTCTGTGCATATTTAATAGAAAGTTCTAGGGTGGATAGTGTTACCAATCTTTTAAAAATAATTCACCACAGATTTAAGTTAGCTGATAAAGAGGTATTTTAACCTAATCTTAATCTGTTCACACAGAATATTTGTTGAGATTTATTTCAAAAATAAAGCCTGAAACTGGATCAAGCAAATGTCTTCATGTTTAGAGATACTCTACATTTCGAGAAAAAAAGTGCCTTGCTGAAAGTTATGTGTTGATTGGATAAAAGAGTAGAGAAATCAAAATAAATATTCACTTGAAGCCTCTAACATGAAACAGTGGCTTTGCAAGAAATGTTATAAAATTCAGTCTATGTACTATGATAGTGAAAATAAAAAGATGACACAGACGAAAAGTCTAAAATTTAACACAAAATTCAAGACAGCACAGCTTAAATTTCAATAAAGTAATCAACATGGTGGTCAAAATGTATGGTATAAGCTTGGTACAGACATCTGTAGTCTCTAAGCTCAGCAATGTCATGATGCAAATACGACAAACGGAGTATCAAAACATTCACTGCAATTAAACAGCCAGCTGGAGATAATGTGGGAAGAATCTATCTACAACAAGTTTTTAAACTTAATTTATTTTAAATAGTAATAAAAAATACAAGTCTTGTTTTTTTGTTTTTTGTTTATTTCGAGTACAAATAAACACGCTGCGATGTTGAACACAGAGGCAACAGTCACCTGAAAAGCATACAGAACACTGAATGACTGACATATTGGCTAGTGGTAAAAAAAGATATTGACATTGACATCAGCCATGGAATACCATTCAGGTTGTGAAGTCTTATCTCGCTGCTCAAAATCATTTTTAGAGACTTCTTGGATGAGTTTTTTCAATCAATTTCATTAGAGCTTTGTTGAAGTACTGTTTTTAACATAGATTACACACAGCAAAGGAATACAAAGTAATGTACACATACAGCACAACAAATCAGCAGCATATCATGTATTGATAATTAAAACATTAAAATCAACATTTTACGGTCACAGGGATAAAATGCATTGTTGTCACGTTATTATGGGATGTGACAAAAAGAAAGCTTGGAATTTTTAAGTATCTGTTTCTTAGTTCCCAGTGGAAGGGAAAGAAAATTATTGATAGTCAGTGTCATTTTACAAAAAAAATCAATTTAAATCTACACAACATCAAAAATGGCTGCCAGACGGCCATACTGACTTTTTCAGCTCATGATCAAAATGTCGAGATTACCTTCACTGTAGAAACCAATACAAAAACAAAGATATTTGGACACCCTCTTAAAGTACATTTTGACATTTTTACTGACTTTTGTGAACATAGTGCAGTTCGAATGATATTGATTGTAATTTCTGCAGCGGTGATGAAATCGTAAAAAATCCAGCAGACTAATGATCCATATGTTCGTCCATCGTAGCAGGTTTGGGTTCACTCTCGACCAACTTATCAATTCCAACAATGTTTTCCAAGACAGGTTTGACTTCAGTCGCTATACTCTCCGTTTTGGGTTCAATCACCGGCATGATTTCCCCTGCAAACAAAACAATGCAAGTTATGTGCAGGAATAAATGCAGATGGATGTCATTACAAGAGAAGCAGCTTGGCATAACATTTTTTTTTGGCATAACATTTGTTTTTGAAGCAAATGAACATAATTTCTCTTTGCCTACTATTGGTTTTGAGAAATTTTTCAGATAAACATATGAAAAACTAAACATGCTTGGTTAGTGAAAGATGAACAAAGTTCACATATGAATAATATGCATATTATTTAAGGGCAATAAAGCAAACAAGGTATAAATGTCTTCAATGATCAGTTGAATGTATTCAAGTCGAACAACTCAAGTGTTTTTGTTTTATAATCATGTAGTTGACCACAATTGAATCTTTGCTTACGTATATATCTATCAGTTTCAAAAACAGAAGTTCAAGAAATTGACAAATGATTATTACACCCGTCTGAAAACTATATTTATTCTGTTTCCATGTGACCCAAATGAGATGAAATCATCCAACAACTAAGTCATCGTCATTACGATATCCTGGTTATGATTTCAACAGCATATGAACAACAATTTATATTGCTGTCAGTCGGCCATATTGGATCAGACCAATGTAGACAAAAAAACTATTATGTAGTCTTTTAGTAACAGGCTTTGAAGAAACAAGTCGGGAAAAATTCAAGAAATTATGCCAGATTCTAAGAACCCATGAAGATCACAGCACATTACCTGGTTTCTGTTCTGGTGTTTCAATGGGTGGCTGTTCTGAAGTAGCTTCACTTCTTACTGTTGCAGCATCTTTGTCTTTCCTACATAGTTAAGAATACATAGTAAGTTGCCTTTCATTGGAGCTACAGACACAAGAGATTTTTTTTAACGAGGGAACAGGGGCGCAGCACCCCTGTCCTCTGGCAACTATAAAATTCTGATTGACCAGGGATCACATGTGGCCACAGTTTTCAACTGTGACCTGTCTGATAGTAATTTTGGCCTCAAGGAAGCCATAGAATGCTTCATTTTAACTTGAACCCTATTTCCCCCACTTGGTGGCGCCACTAAATTGCAGTGCTCTCTCTTGCAGTTATTTTCTAGAAAAAACCACTGGACACAATGTCATTTTGTTATTAAAGCAACATTCTCCTCTCTCTGCCAGATTATTGAATCAAGGTTTATCTAGAGTACAACATTTTTTTCCTGATAAACTGCAGAATCAATAAATGTGAATTTTTATTTATTTCTTAGATTCACCCACAGAGTCCAATTGTGTATCTGGAAGCAACGACTACCATAAGAAAAAGGAACTACTCTTATCTCAAATCTGCTACTTCTGTGATGATGATAGAAGAGTCATTTAAATGTGGAAAGTTTGCATGAGTTCTAGCAGAACATTCTCTATTTTTTGGTTGTCAACTGAACAGGCAGCTGGGGGTGGGGGGGGGGGGTGGTATAGCCCCACAACCTCTGTGATACAAAGCACACTAACCACACCCAGGTGAAATCTTGCATGAGGTGCAATTTCACCGGCATTATATTTAACAGTTTCACATCAGATGAGTAAAAATAAGATGCTATATCTCAAGAATGATTACCAGCTTTATGACGCTGATATATATATGCAGCTGTTAACAATGACAAATAACAAGGATCTGACCTTTTTTGAACTTATAAAGTACTTTATTAGGGATGAGGTTTTAACAGGACAATGTATCATATTACTCAGCGTTTACTACCATAATTAATTAGACAAACAATGCAGCTAATCAGGGGTTTTTTTAAACAAGGGAACATGGGTGCAGTGCCCTCATGCCATGGCCATGCACCCACTTACCCTAGGGCGCAGATCCTCTGGCAACCATAAAATTCTGATTGACCAGGGATCACATGTGGACACAGTCTTCAACTGTGACCTGTCTGATAGTTGGAAGCCATAGAATGCTCCAATTTTAACTTTAGAATTATCAAAAACTCCACACCCTGGTAGGGAGAACCTTATCTCCCCCACTTGGTGGCGCCCCTGAATTGCAGTGCTCCCTCTTGCAGTTTTTTTTCTAGAAAAGAACCCTGAGTTGATAGATTCTGAACTGAGCACTTTAGCAGGGAAAAGATGTAATAAAAGCTTACCCAGTATTATCGCTTTCACTTCGTATCGGTAAATCTACATCTTTCTTCTCTACCTTGGTGTGAAGATCTTCATCTTTCTCTTTTTTGGCATCTACACAAAGTAAACAATTATTGATTTTTTATCAAAAGCACAGAATTACGCTACAACTTGCGACAAGAACATGCACAGGTGTCACCACCTCAGGCGTCCTACCTTTCAACACGTACAGTTCATAAAACATTGGGGTAACCTTGTATTTATTATTATTACTCAGTGTTCTCCACAAGGGGTTTTAGGTGGGCGACCCGCCCATCAAGTTTTATGGCCGAGCAGTAACTCAACACCCGCCCACCAACGTACATCCAGCTGAAATTATTTGTAAAAAGCTTGCATTGTTCTTCCCAAGCCTAAACAAAAGAGTAGTTGCCCAACCCTTTATTTTTCTATTGTTTCAAGAGTCCAAACATAAACAATGACCACTGGAAGTCTGCAAGCAGTTATCAAGTGTATTCATGGCAATGTGTCAATCACCTGAATTCATTGTCGCCCGACATTGTTGCCACTTATTGCTCACGATATGCAACTACAGTGGTTTCAATTTACAGCTGTATTTTTAATAATAGCCTTCCGATCACGAAAGAAAGAAGTAAATACGAACGAAATGTATATGCACAGAAAATAAACAAATATATTAGCAGATTGCATGTAAACTTGAACAAAAATTATAATTCTAGCTGTATTTACAACGTTCGCTCGATTTCCATTGTGAAAATAGCATGGAGAAGGCAAAATGGTGACCTTTTGGCCTACCCCATTCAACGACCATCGGGCACCCACCGCTGTTGGCGTTGTAACAATTAAGTATCTAAGTTGCATAGAGGAACAGCGCATTCTGGGTGTTCGTGTACTGAATTCGAAAGCGGTAATAAACATCAAACATGCCTGCCGGATTAGTTTACCGCGAGAATTCGTAATTGAATAATATTTTAGTTATCTTTTCCACGTACTTTTTTTCAATTTATCCATTTTTTATGTCTAATCTTTCGAGAACATGGCAGATTCTCTTATTTTGCCGATTGCTAGCATTTTTCTTGAATTCCAAAACATCGTGTGAAAACACAACGTATCGTGACCGTACATGCCTAAATGCATCTTACCGTCCGTCGGCACAGGTGAGTACTGATGCCACAAATAAAAATGGGTTTTGTTTTGACAAATCGTCTGTTTTGGCTTCGGGGTCAAATCACCTCGTATATTTTCTACATTATAACTCAATTATGTTTTGTACCTGCTCTTGGTTACTCAAATTGCATTTCATGAACATAGAATAATTTGCCAACGATTTCAAACTTTTTGCATTTCGTAAATATTGATAGTGACCAATCTGTTTGTATTTCAAAAAATTGTAACATGTTTCAATTAAATTAAAAAGAGTATAGTAAATATAGAGTATAGTATAGTAAACTTAGTGTGTATTGCAGTTCATGACATAAATGCTAGAGTGCTGTATGTAAATGATATGCAAATTTATGCTAATTAAGCCACCCACCAGCTATTTTGGATTGTGGAGAACACTGTTACTATATGTCGAGTTGGTAAATTGATAATAAATAAATAAACACAGATAATGTATTCAGACAATAATTTCATGACACTAAAACTATCTGGATTCAGGGATACAACGTTTTTCACATTGATTCTACATCCATTGGTTGTGACACAGCGCCCTCATTCTGTGAACATGAAAAATCTTTCCTCCAGGGCCACACCATCCCTCCAAGTCACTTAGGGACGACGTCAAAAAAAAACTTATTTGCTTTAGTTTGGGAGTGGGGGGTTTTGACCTCAAAAAGTTTCTATCCTACAAAAACAATTTTATTTTTTAATGAAGTCAAAAAAATCTTGCAGTATTTGTAATTTGTTTTTTTTCTCTATCCAGTCATGGACAAAAATAACAAAAAATGGAAAAAAACACATTCAAGACGAGAAAATAATTTGGTCCGAGTGTAAAGTCTGTTTACACCCACCTGACAACCAACTGCTATGCCATACTACTGTCGGATTATCAATTTGTATTTAATGGTGAATGTAGTCTGACGCCATGGTCAATATTTATCAATTAAGTTTCAGTGGGGGGTAGGGGGGTTTGGGAAAAAACTAAAGGAATTAAGTTTTTTATCCAACATTGAATTTTTGATGTTGTCCCTTAGGCTACTTGAAAGAGAAACACGCATGTGTTGATGATATATAGCACCCTCTGGAACAATTTTCCCTGAGCATACTTTCCAATAGTTACATGCCATGATTGTTTTACATACAAATGGTAATTTAACCCTGGGGAGTAGATCACAGGGATGCAGAGGGGTTTTCACAGGGACCAGTATATTCTATCACTGTCAACTCATCTTGCAATCATCTCTATTTTTTGATGTGAAGTCCCAACGTTGTCTTATCAATATGTAGGGAAGCCATTTTAGTAATATTCACCTTCAGCTAGAGTGTCATCTATACGACCCAAGACAGACATATACTCCCACCACAACATAGAACATGGAAACGTTTATTACCTGGCTCCTTATCTTTGTCGTCATCAGTACGCGGCCGCTTCTTTTTGTGAATTCTAACATCTCTCCTACCATCACCTTCATCTTCACTGTCAGAGAACTCCTCATCGCATGCAATACGCTTATCAGATGCACGTACTGAAAGGGAAATAAATGTCACAATCGTATTGAAAGTAAGACAATTTGTTTCAAGAGAAAAATGTCAATCTTTGAAATTGCAGAGATTTTTTTAAACAAGGAAATGGGTACAGTGCCCTCATGCCATGGTCATGCACCCCTTTACCCTGGGGAGCAGATCCTCAGGCAACCATAATATTCTGATTGACTAGGGATCACATGTGACCACAGTCTTCAACTGTGACCTGTCTGATAGTAATTTTGGCCCCAAGGAAGTCATAGAATGCTTCATTTTAACTTAGAATTATCAAAATCTATACACCCTGGTAGGGAAAGCCCCATCTCCCCCACTTGGTAGTGCTGTTGAATTGCAGTGCTCCCTCTTGCACTTATTTTCTAGAAAAAAACCTGAAATTGCAATACGGAATCATGGGAAATATCTTAGAATGCATCCTGTTGACATTCGATTACCACCCAATTGTCATTGTTGTATTCCCTCAAAGCCATTTAACTTTATCATTTTAAGATAGTTTTCTAAATTCAATTTTAGAATTCTGTTGGATAAGACTATAAAATTGGAAGTTCATATCTTGCTTGCAAGGATCAGTGAAACGTTTTCCACAATTCATACAAAGTGGGAATGGAACAAGTCATTGAAAATGACAAAAGTTCCTGTTGGTATTTTGTAATATGGACCTCTATGAGCAACAGTCACTGAAGCATGCTGGAGTAAGTGAGGATTGAGACAAGAAAAAACATACTTACTTGAAATACGTTTATCATTATCTTCTTCCTCTTCTTCTTCACCTTCACTATCTGCTGCAATAGGGTCTTCAGGAATGGCTGCAAATAATTGTTCATATGTGCATAGGGTAAATTAAAAACAAAACAAAACATACCTGGTTGTTTACGTAAAAATAGAGATGTACCATAGAACTTGACAAAATCATTTTAATTAGTTTATTTGTCAAATCCAGGGATGGCAACCTGATTTCAGTATGCTAAAATGACTGGACAAATAGCTCTGTTAAAGGAATGAGGTGAGTTATGTGAGCAATTAAAAAATTGAACAGGGCAAATTATTATTAGCTTCCCAGAAGAAATTTTCAGTGAATGGGGCAAGAACCCAATGCCGTGTAAAGTCAGCAGAAGAACTACCGTAAAATCTGTATTAGAAACTGCATTCCTAATAGAAGTTGCACATATTGTTTTTGAATAATTGAGAAACAAAAATTCATTATTGCCCGTATGTACAGATGCTTGAATAAAAGCCGCATCCCCTCCATTGCATTGTACCATTTTAATAGAAGCCACATCCCCTCTATTGCATTGTACCATTTTAATAAACACTGCAGCTTCTAAAACAGATTTTACAGTACTATTCCCATGGGCATAGACCAACAAGTAGAAATCCTAAATCATTGACTTACGATGCATCTGTACTCCAGGGGCGTGTGGAATCATTCGCAAATTCTCATATAGCCTTGTTCTGAAATAAAAAAATGTATGCATCATTAATACCACAACACTCATTGATTAAAGCAGGAGTGTCGTCACCAGCACGGAAATTGAGTCCCAAGCGACGATAACAACACACTAAAAATGCAAAGGCTTATTTGTAATCAATGACATGCTATGAACATCTGATGCATGCGCAGGTGACGACTTCCTCGCTTCAAACACTTACTGTTTACTTTTGATGAACAATGGTCATTATGATCAAATTATTTTGTAACAAAATAAATAACACCTCCATCATATGCAAATTAACCACCATTGCTTCAATAGGAAGAATACATAAACAAACTTTACAAACACATTTTATTTTTGTGAAGATGCAGCTTACTTTATATGTAATGTAATACTGTAAACTCCTTTAATTTAATAATAGACAAATTTTCATGAACTTGGCGAGTTAGTAAAAACCGCTTCATTTTGTAGCAGTGAAAATTTTTCTGGGGTCCGACGACAGAATATTTTTAGCAGTGAAAATTAAACGGCTTGCAGTATTCACAATTTTTACAAACAAATGAAATACAGTTTATAGATTCATGAAGAATTAGTAATATTTTAAGCTCATTATGTGTTTCCCCCCCCCCCCCATGCTTTTGTAATTGTGGACAGTGAGATTTATGTAGATGTTGACAAACTGAGATGCATGCTGATTGGACAAAGATGCAACACATGATAGAATGCAAGACAATTTGTGATTGGTTAAAGCGAGAGGGTCGTCACCTGTGCATGCAAGAGTCCCAGGCAACTATAACACACACTAAAAACACAAAGGCTCATGGGTAGACGCTTGTTTGTAAACAATGACACGCTATGGCCATCTGACGCATGCGCAGGTGATGACTCCCCTACTTTAATCAGAAACCACAGGAAATTTACAATAGTAATATATACTTACTTTATTTTTTCTAAATATTCTGGTGTGTTTTGATTAGCCATGTTAGAGGGACTGATGTGAAGCTTGAAATCTGGTCCAAAATACTCAAAATAGTCATTGTATGGAAGTTCTGAAAAAAATTATTTGACAGTTAATAGAATATCTTTAGTTTCATACTTCGACTTTCTAATAAGGAACGATCTAATTGGTTGAGAAATCCTGTCTAAACATGATTTTGGATGTCATTTGGTCAAAATTAGATAGAGGTGATTAACTTATGAAGAGACTACTACACACGTAAGATTTTAATCAGATTGTGCCTTAGTAGAGGAGATGAGCCAAAGTACTGAGTCTTGGATGAATTTATTGGACGTAATATGGTCGCCTGTTGCGAGAATGCACATGACTATGTTTTGAGTGTAATAGATTACTGCTTACAGAAAAATCATCAGCCAGCAATTGGCATGACAGTGTGACACTGCATCCACACTGGTGTACTGTAGAATAAAAAACAAGCA